GAAACTGTACTAAAAGTACATAAAAAGCAGAATGATCTACACTATTAAACTCCTCCATGGCTTCCTTTACCTACAGATAAAATACGATCTGACAGAAGGAGCCCAACGGTGTCTGCACACTGAGTTAAGGCCATGTAGATTGTCTCAGTCCTCCAGGTCACCTCATCCAAGACAGTCAAGTAGAGGTCAACTGGACTGCCTTGGTTTCTTGGAAGACGTTTCACTTCTCATCCAAGAGGTGTCTAACTGAAGAAGTACAATCTGATTTCCCTTGTCTAAACTGGAGGAACAGATGACGGCGCCAGCCAATCAGAGCGCATCTTTGTTGGCTACAAGGTGGAATCCTAGTAAACCAGTGTTTCAGGTAGTGTGAATAAACCATAAGAAGCTAAGAGTGTGAATGATCTGGTCCAATTCTAGCTTAAGATTTGAAGTCAAATTTGGTTTAATCTCTGTTCCACACTTTATTTACTTTTATGTTTGTCTACGTATGTTAATTAATAATATAATACTGTATTGTGTTATAAGATAAATAACAATATATAAACAATATAAATAACAAAAATAGTTAATAAATCATTTCCTACAGGACCAATCATGTACCAATCAAGACTTGATGACAGATTTTATAAATTTTATAAAAATATTACATCTTGCATTTTTGTTGAATTATTCTAATTTAAATTAAAACTAAAACAAAGACTAAGAAAAAAATCAACACTGGAGATGTTTTATCATATCTTTGTACTGTATTGCACGCAGCCATTTGAAAGCACAGAGTTAATCATGGACTGTCATCACTTGACGCTAAACCTGAGATTATTAAAACATGTGCAAGAGTGCAGTGAGAGAGTGAGATCTCTCAGTGTCAGCTCATTTTTCATTTGTTTATATGTCAATTTACTTAGTTATTAATTTCCAGGAATGTAGTGTTTGACTTTCGTGTTCATATTTGAGGACCAAAAATCCCACAAGTTCATCTCATTTTTTAAAGTTAAGACTTTCCAGACATAAACACGGTGTCATTCATCAATCGGCTTCCCCAGGATGTTGTAAGAGACACAATATTTACCCACAATTCCACCGTAACTAATCAGTAAGACATAAACAACTGTTGAAACTGGAACATATGGAAATATTTTAAATGTGCTGCCTCCTTTTGATTACTCCAGAGTTTCAACAAAAATATATTCAAAAATGTTTTAAAGTAAAATCAACGCTGCTTTTTTGTGTGGTTGTGTGTTTGTGTGATGACAATTACCTGAGCGCAGCGTCTGTTGTTTTCACACCAGACCAGGACTTGGTCACTCTGTGAGAGACAGAGACGATAAAGGTTCAGAGAAGCAGGAGCAGAGAAATAAAACCTGCACAGGCAAATTCCACGTTTGAAGTCTGTGTTTACAGTAATCTTTAAGCAGACAGAAAGCAAAATACTGTTAATTAAAGGTCACTTACTGAAGGAAAACCTGTGATGCGGAAAAGACACACAGTCAACTTTTCTATTATTTACATAATTATCCACTGGGTGAAACGTGAGTGAGCGCACTGTGTTTGTGGCTGGAGCAGACAGACCACGTCACTTGGAGAGACGTGTGTTTGTGTCTGTGTCTGTGTGACAGCGTGTGTGTGTGTGTGTGTGTGAGTCAGGACCACTGGTTGTGGAGCATGAAACCAGTGTGACAGAGGAAGATGCCGTCATTCAGTGACACCATGATAAATCATACCATGAACAGAAGCCTTTTATCTTTAATAGAGGTGAAAACGTCCTCTCCCTTTTCATCAGTACAGTTCAGTGTTTCCTTTACATTTATTTTCCTTGGCTCCCAGCCACAGAACGATCACTGAACCATGGGTGAAATTAAAACCTCAGCTCAGGTTGAAGGTTATTCTCCATCACTTAAGAGACAAACAACTATCCACACTATATTTACACCTAAGTGTGAACATTTCACCCGATCCTGCATAGAATAAAAGAAATGAAAGTGAATGACTGTCATTGATGCTCTGCAAACAATGAATTTTGTCCTTTGCTTTCAATCCCATCAACATAGTGCACAGGGGGCAGCTCAAGCTCGGCACCTCGGGAGCAGCATGTGGGGGGAGGAGAGGCATGCTCAGTGCATCTCAGTGGCACCTGGTGGAGTTGAACCTGCAACCCTGTGGACACATGTCTGCTTTCTTAGTGCCATGGTATTTTGTGGTATTTTATTTAAAGTATTATGTATCATTGTTGTGGTTGAAGTCTAACCTGGAAAAACCTGCAACTACTTCAAAAGTGCAGTAGCACCGTAGCATAGCAACAGAGCTGCTTTCCCCACTGAAATGTTTGGTCATGATGCTATCATCCAACATCAAAACAGCTATTTAACAAACCTGTGGGTAAGTGTATGTGTGTGAGTTCTTCAGGGAGTGTGTGAGCCTCTTGAGTGTGTGTGTGTGTGTATGTGCATGGGAGGAGGGTAAGCTGTCTTAACAACTCCAGCTAAACCCTCTCCTGGGGGAGCTGTATTTAGCCTGAACCAGGTTCATCTCTTTCCACAGACACACACACGCACACACACCCTAAGTTTCTTTGCTTTGTGCTTCTGAATTTAAGCAGGTTAAAGGGTTAGAGTTGGGGTGAACATGCTGTGATTAAAGGTTGGAGGTCAAGGTTTTAGGACATAAAGAACCAAAAAAAAAAAATTAAATGACCTCTTAATAATTCATTAAAAATCCAAATTTACTAGTTTATCACCGACGTACAATATATTCAACACATCCATCTAACTGCCAACGTTAAAAAAGGAGACCAAGGAAATAAAACAATGATAAAAACCTTCTTCTCTTTAACGCCTGCTGCCAGTCATGTTTTAAATGTCAGCAAACACACAGGCCGTATGTTGATTCCCACAGGGAACAGCAGGGGGCACCCCACAGTTCTGTCAGTGCTGCTTTTTTGTGAGTACTTTATTCAACCACACTAAAATATTCCTTAAACTACCAAGTGCATTCCAGGCGTTGGATGAAGACGGCTGCCCGAACACCCATCAGTCATCCCTGCAGAGTTTGGCCATTGAGAAAACAGTGTGTGTGAAAATGACTGGTGCTCCAAGTCGTCCGCAAATTTCCACACTTCCCGCATTTTTCCCTAATTCCTGCTCCCGTCTATGTCCACTACTGCAACTACTGACTACTGCTGTGCTTGTCCAGCAGCTGGAAGCAGCAATGAAGTGGTTAGTTTTCCGAGAAGCAACAGGAGTGCGACCAAAATCAGGATCAAATCCTGAACAAATGCCTCAACAGATTCGCTTAGACAAGTTAAATATAAATTCTGCCTGTAATAATCTGACACGACTAAGTAGGAATATATTTATTCAGTATATTTCTTTCTTATGAGATGAATTATGGCTGAGATGAAAGCAGGGGAGGAGGAATCTTTAAAAGTAGATCCTCCATCCTCCATGTTTTGGAGGAAAATCAAACACACACTATCTTCATACAAACTAATCAATCTTCTTGCTGTGAGGCAAATGCAACAACCACTATTTCTGGCATGTGTCCTAACTATATCTGTCATGTTTTAAAATCTTGGGTTAGAATGAGGCAAATGCAACTGTCATGTTTTAAAATCTTGGGTTAGATGAAGAATCAGCTTTATAATTAGTAATTATACATATATATCTGTATACACACAACAATATTTGTTCTGCATTTAACCCAATAACCCATTCCTGGGGAGCGCTGATCATTTTCAGTAGCACCCAGGGAGCAAGGGAAATGGTGTTTTCTCAACACACCACAGTTGGCCAAGGAAGGATTCGTACCAGCAATCCTCTCATAACATGCCTGATCCTCTTACACAAAGGCCACAGGCTAGGATTACAGATTTGTTTGGAACAGCGTGTGTGTTGTAAACAAGAACGATGTTTAAAATGTATGAGCTAAACTTTGGGTCTAAATACACCAGACTTTTATTTGTTTCCCATCCTTTCTTCTGCTTATCCATATATACTTATATACTTATATCCATATATACTGCAGTTGTCTTGCATCTAGAGGGTTGGGCGATCAGTTCCAGTCTTGGGAGGTTGCATTCTGCCTTGCTGTTGAAAAGGAGATGGCAAAAACCTGCAGTGTGTATTAAGTGGTCTAAAGACCAGAAACTCTGGCCCCTCCTGTAAAAAGTTAAGGACAAGACTTATAGACAATGGCCAAAAATAGGAGCTTCTCCACTAAAAGAGTTGAAGACAGCATTCAAGCCGGTTAAACGTCTCCAGATTTTCTCAGAGGAGATATAAAGCTGCCCCTCACCCCCTCCCCCCCCCGGTGGCCCCCACATCTTTCTCTCTATAACCTTTTTCATGTTTTTTTCCCCGTGTCGCCTTTACCACCACATCCCTCTCTCTTTGTCACTCCTCTCTCTTTGCCCTTCTCTGTCACACAGGTCTTTCACACAAAGAGCCTATTGCAGGGCAATTACATGGGACGTATTTGCTGTCAGAACCAATCAGGCCCTTCAGATAGGCATGTTTGCTGCATGGCTATTAAACAGTGGTTAAAATCAAGTTTCTTTGGGCATGTGTGCAAATCTGTCCATGGCAAAACAGCTGCGAGTGTTGAATAAGCCAACGAGAAGAGAGAATGTGAAGACGGTGACAGAAGGCTTTCGTGAGAAAGAAATGAACAGAGGAGATTCAGAGATGGACGTTGAAGGAGGAAAACACGAAAAAGAAAAGAGTAAAAGTTCCAGTAACTGCTGTCTGTCACACTGAGTTTAACAGTGAGGGGTTATTTTTATTAATGGGGACCTAACCACACGGTACATATATCAGAAGTGAATTTCACGTTACCCACCTCGTGATGTAAGACTATAATGACAAAGCCATGGAAAAACCTAATTTATATTTAAAGACAGATTGCCATGTGGCTGAGCCGTGAACATTTTTTTTTTTATCAAGGGGTCCGAACGAGAAACCCTCCGAGGGTGAAACACCAGAGAGCCATCAGAAAGTAACTGACCCGAGTAAGAAACACTCACACTAAAGAACTTCCACATGGCTCTGATGGCTGCTGGGTCCACACTAATCACTGGTGGAGAGTAACCTTCCAATAGCAGCAGATGGAGCAACAGGGAAAAAGAGGCGGTGGCGCAAACGCACACATGTGAAAGTACATTAGCCAGTCACCGTGCACACTCACAGCTGCACACACCCTTCAGTGTGAGCAAAAGATATGAATCACACTTCTGCCAGATGCAGCCACACACAAGTCAACGTGTGCGTGCGTGTGCGTGCACGTGCGTGCGTTGTGGTCACTTTTTGTGGTGAGGTGCAGTAGAAAGTCTATTTAACACGAGGCATTAACTCTGCTAATCACACCCAGATGACCAGAAGAAAACACTTTGACGGTGAATGTCTCATGACCAACATCCACTCAACAGAATATAAAACTCTTCCCAAAAAGTCCGTCTTAAGGTCTGAAGTTCCCGATAGAAGCCCCTAATTACTGTTTGTGCATGTGTGTGTGTGTGTGTGTATATGTGTGTGTACCAACGTTAGTGTTTGCGGTGCTCCACATCCTGTAAACAACAGGCATCACAACAAAGTGGTTGTTTGATGGCCCCGAAATTCATCTCATCCGACAATTACGACAATGATACTGTCTCTCTGTTCACTTCCAATAACGATGACGACAACGAAAACGCTGTTGGTAAACAGAAAGGCTGAATGACGTAAATATAAACAGCAATACTTCTCAAATATTTACTACCACTTTTTGTATGTTTTACAATACAAAGTACTCAATTTGAAACTCTAAAAATTAGAATACCTAAAACTCAAGGTTGACTTCTTTCCAAAACAGTTACAGATTTACTTGTTGTGCCATTTGATATTATAGAGTATTGTTGAGCGTCAACGCTTTCTTCTACTGAATGAACACCCTTGCACAAAATGAAGACATGCCGCTCTGTGCCCTTCCATTTCTGCAGTGATTTACTGCCTCGGAATTTCTCGCCCTGGTTTCAGGTGAGAATCATTTCAATACCACCACCATTTTTATCACCCATCCATCATAGCTCCAAACGATCGAATGACAAAGCTCCAGAGAGAGGTAGATGCCTTATCTGTGAGGTGAATCAAACAGGCCTTTGTCTCCCATCATCTCCGCCCCCTCCTCCTCCAGTCTCTCCTCTTACCCGTCTGGCTGCATATCCCTTGACGTCTAAGCCGTTTTGTCTGGTTGCCTGTCTTCATGTGTGTCTGACACACCTGTCAGTGTCACCGTCTGACCGCTGACCCTTCTTTCCATCTCTTTGCCAGTCTTTGTGCTTGAGCACATCTGTCTACCTGAATTCATCCCCCCGTCTGTCTCTGTGCAGCCTGACCTGACCATTGTCTCTGGCCTTTTGCAGAGCGTGACTAGTTGACTGGCTAATCTTTGGGCTGATTAGATTTACCTACCACAGAGATGCTGACAAACACACATGAACGCACACTTGCCCTCATCTTTTGGCTTGAACTCCCAACCGTCCGCTCTTCAGTACCACAGACCGGTGTTTTAGTCTAATCTAATCAACTACGTATGTCGCTAAAAGACGCAGCTTTGTAGGCCAACAAGGAGTATTTCTTTCCTTTATTTTTAGGTCTTTACAACAAAGAGGAAGTCTGGAATATGACAACATACCAGCGTATATAAATACACACATGCACACACACACATGCAACAAGCTATAGTTATGCTATTACACCATACAAGGGAAAGTCGTGGAAAACCCAGAGACGCAGCAGAAAGAGAGGTGTAAATAGAACACTGGTGACTCAAATTCTAGTGGCTAAACACTAGCCACACACACACACACACACACACATAAAAAACAGCACATAAAGACACAAAAACACAGGGTTCACCCACATGAAGCCGGAGGAAGTAAAGTGTGTGTTTGTGTCTAAGTGTGGTGACGGACTATAGCTGAATGAGTAAAGCTTTATATGTCTCATTGATGTTACCGTCACTGGACCTATTATTAAAAAGGATTTTTTTTTTTTCAAATCGCAAACCTTAATTTTCTTAAATGAATGAATGCAGTAACACGCAGTCACTCTCATTAATCACTCTGTGTGAGGGTGTGCACTCTCTCCATTGCCTCCTATTATAGTTGCAGCGAGTGATGCTGTTAACCAAGGATGTGGTTGAGAGGAAACTTGTTTCTTTGTTTTTCCTAAATTTCAGAGGAACCTTTTCAAAGGATCTTTTCACTGTGATGCAAAAAACACTCGTTTGCATTGCTGAATCACAAAGTCAATAACTTTTACTACTTTGAATTTTTATTTGACGTCAAGTAAACGGTAATATGTTATTTAGTTGTAGACGAATCACGCGACAAACGGTGAAAGATAATAAAAATGGCAGTTTATCTTGACGCCAAAAATATACAGAATAACAAGGATCCTTAGCCCAACACATTTTTGTTGTGCATTTTTGTTTTTAAGGCAACAATTACTTTAATGACTGATTGTTTCGTTTGTTGTTTTTCTCCATCTGGTTATTTATTTTGGATTTAAATATAATTTTTCCTGCCCATTGTACAGTCCACCCTGGCATCTTGAAATAACTTCTTTTTGTCCAAGTAAACCATATGCATTTCACAATGTTATGAAACTGGGAAAAACTAAAACAGCACATGCTGGCATTTTTACTGGGAGAGTGGCACAGTGAAGAGTGGATCCACTAGGTGAAATAACATCACAATTATAGTAAGTCAAATGATAAGGAAAATATGGAATAACACTTTTCCACAAGATGGCTACAAAAAATGTGCTTTTTGGCATTAGTACTGATGAGAAATCACTTTTCAAGGCACAGAAATAACTGTCCTTGTTTGATGTTGGCAGAAAGTTCAATAAAATGGATAGAAAAAACACACTATAGCATTCAGCAATGCAAGCAAACTGACCAGTAGTCACCTGCTGCATATGAAATGAGTGCACCTGTCCTCACTCATCTGATAAGAAGACCTCGGAACGCAACTTCAAAATGTGTTTTGATAAGTAAACATCAATCAACATTTGACTACTGAACTCCACCACCTCATAAAGTTTAAACACCCCCTTTTCCCACCCTTCCCATTGGAGTCACCACCTCATAAAGTTTAAACCCAACGCCCCCTTTTCCCACCCTTCCCATTGGAGAAAGACAACCACACACAGACAGATTTCATTGCTGGAAAGTCATCCAGGGGCCACCCTCATTACCAAAACGCACAGGTGACGTGAGTCTATGGATGATCAACGAGAACCAGACCAAAACTTTGTTTCATCCATGAACTCACACATTCACGAGTACACAGACTTTTTCTACACCCCCAAGAGTCACTGATGCCTGAACTCTGTGGTTAATGACTTCTCCACCCACAACACAATGTGCACATGTTGAAGCCGTTAAAATAAGTGGCTCTTCAAACTTGGTAACGTCCTCACGTCCCTGTTTCACTGCCACAATATGAGTTGCAGTAATTTTGGTGAGATGAGCAATTTTGAAAATTTTAACAAAGCAACAACAATATCATCGTTTTTCCCAAGGACTGACTGTGAGTCTCTTCTGATAAAGCCTCAGTTGGACAACACATGGTTGTGAAGTCATAACATTTTTTGATTTAGGAATTTCTTGACACAAGAAGACACAGCTATGAAGCTGGCAGGTGTGGCTCTGAAGCTAGAACGAGCGAGAACAATACTGTTTTTTAAACATTTTAACAAGGTGTAATGATGCCACTTAACTTTAATCTTAGTGATAATGCCTGTGTTTACCTCCATAATTGGGCACAGATTGGGCCACGT